ATTAGAGATCATCAAGGAAGCCCAGTCAGAGGCCATAAAAGAAGAGAACCGCAAGAGTGAGCGGGTGGTCGGGTGTGCTTCGGCATTTGACATAGACAGTAGAGGGCTTTGACTCTCCATGGGCGAGTATGGGTGCCATATGCAGGTGGAGCCCGATGGATTTTGATGGAGGAGGCCCACAAGTCGAGATTTTCTATCCACCCGGGGGCCACAAAGATGTATCTTGATCTGAAGCATAATTATTGGTGGCCATGCATGAAGAGAGATGTGGCAAGGTTTGTAGAGAAATGTTTGACCTGCCGAAAGGTCAAGGCGGGGCACCAGCTCCCTCATGGCAAGTTGCAGCCTCTGGAGCTTCCCTCATGGAAGTGGGAACATATTACTATGGATTTCATTACTAAGTTGTCGAGGACTGCGAGTGGTGTTGACACTATCTGGGTGATAGTGAATCGTTTGACGAAGAGTGCTCACTTCTTAGCTATAAGTGAGAACTTTTCTGCAGAGAAGTTGGCCGAGATTTATGTTCGTGAGGTGGTGGCTCGTCATGGGGTGCCGACATCCATCGTGTCTGACCGTGATGTGCTTTTTACTTCCAGATTCTGGAAGAGGTTCCATGAGGAATTGGGTAACCGGCTACATTTTAGCACCGGGTACCATCTGCAGACGGGCGGGCAGAGCGAGCGGACGATTTAGACGCTCGAGGATATGCTGCGCGCATGCGTTATTGATTTTGGTGGGAGTGGGGACTCTTACCTTCCTTTGGCTGAGTTAACATATAATAACAACCATCATGCCAATATAGGTATGCCCCTGTTTGAGCTCCTTTAAGGTCAGAGTTTCCGAACTCCTATATGTTGGGGCGAAGTGGGTCATAGTGTCACGAGGAGCACGGAAGTCATGCTCAAGACGATAGAGCTCATACAACAAGTTCAGCAACGACTTTTGACTGCGTAGAGCCGTCAAAAGAGTTATGCGGATTGGAGGCGCTCACAGCTGGAGTTTTAGGTGGGGGATTTTGTACTCTTGAAGGTGTCACCCTGGAAGGGTGTTATCCGCTTCAGGAAGCGGGGCAAGCTAGGCCCCAGATTCATTGGCCCTTTTCGAGTGTTGGCCAGTGGGGCAAGGTGGCTTACCGGTTGGAGCTACCGGAGGAGTTGAGTCAGATCCATGATACCATCCATGTATCCCAGCTGAGGAAGTGTATAGCTGATGAGGCGGTTGTGGTTCCCTTGGAGGACATTCAGGTCGATGATCGCCTGGATTACATGGAGAAGCATGTAGCCATCTTGGATGGTAAAGTGAAAACCTTGAGGAACAAGGTCGTGAACTTGGTCAAAGTTCAGTGGCAACACCATAGAGGTTTAGAGTGGACATGAGAACCAGAGTCGGAGATGCATGAGCAGTATCCTAAGTTGTTTCTAGAGAATGGATTCGAGGGTGAAGTCTGATCTTAGTGGGGGAGAATTGTAACATTCCTAAATGAGGTATAAATTATCATTCCATAACCTTTCTTAAATGTGTCAAAATTAGTCCTTATTTTGTAAAAGGTGACAAGTGAGTACGCGGGGCGTACGCATGAGTACGTCCATCGTACTCATGCACTAAGCAAGATCAAAGAGGTCACCTAGTACGATGGGCGTACCGTTTGGTATGTTGGGCGTACTAGGCTCGGTAAGCAAACCCTAATATTTCTTGTGTCCCTACTTAAGGAACATGATGGCCTCATTTCTAGCCACCTTTATCAGCCTCCAACCTCTCATATACCCTAAATCTCGAGGGTGTGCTTGTGGGTGTGATTTTGCAAGCTTAAAGTGATTCTTGGCCCTTGTAGTTAAAGAGTGAAGTTAGAAGAAGAAGAAGAAGGTGCCATCCAGCTTAGAGGTCTAGAAACCATCCATCTTTGTGCATCATTTCCATGTATAAAGCTTGTACCTTGGCTAGTATTCTCTTAGATCTCTTTTGGTGCAAGATTTATGAGCTTAAGTGCTCAAGTTTAGACCTTTTCGAGTTTGTGACTTTTTAGAGAGTTTTGGCTGTCCTTTTATGCATTTTGGGCTCCTAGATCAATAAAAATGGTTGCTTGATCTTTCCTTTGACTCCATGCATGAGTAAAGCACCTTGGAATAAATGAAATGTTGTTCTAGTCTCTCCTAGCCATGCAAAGGCTTAAAGCCCACAACTTTATGGATTAAGAGCCCTTGATTAGCTCAGATTTATAGTTGGAGTATTTGTCTTAATGGATTAAGACCAAAAGAAGTAAGGAATGGAAGTTCGAGGAGTATGTCGTGCGTACTCCCAGCTACGCGCAACGTAGATCCGAAAACCCCCGTCACATGCATAACCAGCAGTACGCCCAGCGTACTCGCCGGGTGTTGACTTCGGTTGACTTTGCTGATTTTGACTTTTAGGTCAAAATTTAGGGTATGGACCTAGGGAGGGGCAATATGGTCCTTTTTGCCCTTAGTGGGCTTAACTGTGGACTTGGACTCGTGATATCGAT